GTATAGTACAGTTCTTAAAACAGTTTTGATATATGAAAAAGATAGAAAAAACAGTAAAAAAAGATGATGAAAGGTTAACACTTCTTGAGCTAACATTAAGCCTAACATTAACTGGATGATGATGGAGAATGGGACTGGTGCTGGAGAGGATGGAGCTGGTGCTGGAGAGTCCGAGTTTGAGTGCGCTGCTGGGCAGGCGGGTACCACTTGAATTGCTTTCTAGTTCTGCCCTCACAGTTCACAGTTCTGCCCTCCTCCTCCTGCCTTCCCTCCCTCCCTGCTTTCCCATTCACTGCTTCCTTCCTCTCTGTACCCCCTGGCATGAGTTCTGGCTTCGCAGCTCACCCAGTGGCAAGCAGCGCTTGCTGCTTGAGGACAGGGTGGGACTTCCAGGTTTGTAAGTATGGGATGTCCGTGACCCAGATGCTCGTAACCCAGGGACTACCTGTATACTGTTTTGAAATGCCCAGTTTAATTTATATGATTGTCCTGGTCCCATTATTTACTTTTTATTAAGAAAAGACATCAACCCTGCTGCCCCCATTTCCTGGAAATCTCTGAATGTTCATGAGTTCCCATAATGCTGTTGCAGCTGTTGTCATCCTTTTTCTTATACTGACTTTTATTACTATCTGGTATAGTAAGGCTGAAATTGTACAATAATGAAAAAGAGGGAAGTTCCAGATACATCACACTTTGAATAAAGTAGGAGTGCATGAAGATGGTTTATTAACAAGATTGTATCAGCGCACTATTTATATAAAGCAAGAAAAACATATTTAGAAATGAATAGAAGGGTTTTTAAAGTTTTTCAAAATTGTACAATGCCTTCACAGAGATTTTCTCAGATGTACCACTGCAGATCAGCTCTGCATTACACTGCAGCGATTCAAGGTGCCATTTATGGACATGGACCCATAGCAAATAACTAGTTCCAATGTGCTTTAAAGTGCTTGTGAACACTGTGTGCAGTTCCAGAGGTCTAAGCATGGGAAATGTGCATGTAAGCCAGCTAACTGAAGCAGCTATGTCCAGTGGGAAAAGGAACAGAACTATCTGCCAAGAGCTGAAATAAGAAAAGGCAAACAGAAACAAAATATAAAAATAAATACTTTTGGAACATGTTCAAGGAATACAGCAGGGAATAGTTTTGGTTTGCATTTAACCTCTGCATAGTGTATAGAGTGGCACCGTTTGGAGGCTTTAACCTGGTATCTTTTCGAGGGAGCAACAGTTAAGGTTCTCAGTTACGTGCACATTTCATCTGTATCTTGTGTTACTTATGTTTGCATGGTGGGGCAGAAGTTGGGAAGGTTATGTTTTCTGAAGCTTATATTTGATGATGCCTCAGGAGAACTAAAAAGGGCTTCTTTTTGTTCCACCCACAAAGTATAAGAAAAGAACATCCAGTTTGTAATGTAGTAGAAGGAAAAGTGATAGATCTTTGCATTTTATATATAAATTTAAAAAGTAAATTGTAGATCTAGAAAAACAGTCACAGTTTTACTTTCAGAAATTCACTCTTTTACTAGGAACTTATTCCAAGTGATGAAAAAACTTCTTTGCGTTTTCTGTGTCGGCCGTGCAAGTAATTGATCTGGGCAGTTGCATATCCCCTTCCCAGCTCTTCCTTGATTCATCCCCTTCGATCAGCTAGCAGGTGCTGGCATAGAAAAGCAGCCATGGCATTGTACTTTGTTTCCTGTGGCACTTTGCTGATGTGGCTGGCATAACACTGTTTTGTGAAAACACAGTGCAGTACCCATGCAGCTCCTCTTGCAGTTTGATTGATTTCTAGCTTTGTTTATCTTGTCTTCCTTGTTGTTGTTGTTAGTAGCGAAGTTGTGCCCAACCCATCGTGACCCCATGGACAAAACTCCTCCAGGCCTTGTCCTTCCTTCTCATTAGGTGGCCAAAGTATTCATCTTCAGTATCTGGCCTTCTAAAGAGCAGTTAGGGTTGATCTCCTCTAGGACTGACCAGTTTGATCACCTTGCTGTCCAAGGGACTCGCAGGAGTCTCCTCCAGCATCACAATTCAAAGGCCTCAATCCTTCAGCGCTCAGCCTTCCTTATGGTCCAGCTTTCACAGCCATACGTTGCAACTGGGAAAACCATAGCCTTGACTGTACGCACTTTTGTTGGCAGGGTGATGTCTCTGCTTTTAAGTATGCTGTCTAGATTTGCCATAGCTTTCCTCCCCAGGAGCAAGTGTCTTTTAATTTCTCGGCTGCAGTCCCCGTCTGTGGTGACCTTGGAGCCCAGGAAAATAAAATCTGTCACTACCTCCATTTCTTCCCTCTTTTATTTGCCAGGAAGTGAGAGGACCGGATGCCATGATCTTCGTTTTCTTAATGTTGAGTTTCAAGCCAACTTTTGCGCTTTTCTCCTTCACCTGCATCAAGAGGCTCTTTAGTTCCTCTTCACTTTCTGCCATTAGAGTGGTAAATAGGCAGGGACACAGTATACAGCCTTGCCAAACTCCTTTCTCAATTTTGAACCAATCAGTGGTTCCATGTCCAGTTCTCACTGTTGCTTCTTGACCCGCATATAGGTTTCTGAAGAAACAAATAAGATGATCTGGTACTCCCATCTCTTTAAGAACTTGCCACAATTTGTTGTGATCTGCACAATCAAAGGCTTTAGCATAGTCAATGAAGCAGATGTTTTTCTGGAACTCCCTAGCTTTCTCCATGATCCAGAGTATGTTGGCAATTTGATCTCTAGTTCCTCTCCCTCTTCGAAACCCTGCCTGTACTTCTGGTAGTTCTTGGTCCACATACTGCTGGAGCCTAGCTTGTAGGATTTTGAGCATCACTTGGCTAGCATGTGAAATAAGTGCAATGGTGCGGTAGTTTGAACATTCTTTGGCATTGCCCTTCTTTGGGATGGGAATGTAAACTGACCTTTTCCAATCCTGTGGCCAATGTTGAGTTTTCCAAATTTGCTGGCATATTGAGTGTAGCACTTTTACTGCATTGTCTTTTAAGATTTTGAATAGCTCAGCTGGAGTACTGTCACCTCCACTAGCTTTTTTGTTGCTCAGATTTCTAAGGCCAATTTATCTTCCTATAAAGAATCATACTTAAATTTGGGATCGCTGTTCTAAGGATTTGGCAGTGCTACAGTATAAGAAAGAGATGTGATGATGCATCTAGTGAGCTCTGGAAATACCTGGTTATTTGATTTTTGCCATTATATTTGGTTCTCAGATCCAACTTAACAAATAGCACTTTTTAGTTCCGCAGTTAATCATTTGCAATTTTAGTGATTTTTCTAACAAAAGTATTTGTTCCCAGAAAATAATAGCATATAAATGTTAACATTTACATGAGCCTAGAATTTTTCTTGACACATGGGTGGCGGGGGAGCTTCTGGGTGGGAGAAACAGGAAGGAAAGGGGCACCCCAGAGGAGCAGTCATTGTGCTTGGGCTGCTGTTGGAGAAGAGCTGCCTGGGATCTCTGCAGAGAACACAGGCCCACAAAGTGTTCTTTTTATTCAAGTAGTCCTAAAATCATCTTAAAATTAATTCTCCCTTTAATGGTTAATTAAATATATTAATTGTGTATATTAAATTAAATGACTGTATTATGAATTCATGGTATGGAAATGTAATCCATTGCACAGTCTCCAGGTTCCATGTCAAAACCTTGTGCGGCCCCTGAGCTGCCAAAAGTTGGACTGCCCTGGTCTAAGGAATACTTGTTTGCACATGAAATGAGATTGAGACAGAAGCATGTAGGCTACCAGGCAATTTGGGAAAAGGTAGACAAAGTGCCTGAGATAGAGAACTACAGCAGAAGGATCTAGATCACTGGGATTACCAGATTACCTAGACAGGGTGATGGAAAGCCCCATCTGTGAAACTAGTGTTTTCCCATTAAATTGCTGGTAAATTTGGTGTCACTGCTTTTTAGCTAAGAGCTGTATATAGCTCTCTGCCTCATTGTGAAGGGGGAGATGAAGAAATTAAATAATTCATATGGAACTGTACATTAACACTACTGCAGTAGAGTTCTGGAACTATCAGCACAGAGATGAGCAGTGGGAGGTGCTTCCCACAGCAGGCACTGTGAGTAATACATCTTTGGTGTTCGTTGTACAGGGTTTTTAAAAAAGCCAAAAGAACTGTGTGCAACATATACCCAACTTAGAAATTTAACTATAGCATTTACTTTGATAATATTTAACTGTTTCCAGTGTTTACTCAAACAGCCTGAGCTCATGCATTGATCTTAATGAATAGGCAAGGGTAATATTTAATTGTGCTGCACAAAATAAATTGGGCACAAAAGGGATATATGTAATAGACCCCTTTTAAAGGCAAGGAAAGGATTCATTAGTTTTGATCAAAACATTACACATCCTACAGTAATGGAAAAAATAGTGGGAGGTAAATTCTATCTGCACAGTACTATTTTCTGAGTGATTTTTTTCCAATTTACAGGGTTACACCTACCAAAAATAAATCAAGCGTTTGATACACTAATTCATGAAGCATTTAGTATCTCTGTTCATACTGAAATAAGAGAAAAGGATTTCAACAATTATAGATAGTTGACCTTTTTGCAGACGTTAATAATGCTCACTTGATACTGCATGTATTTGCTCTGTGCCATGTTGTTAAATTTTAAATCCTATGAACTGATAAACCTTGCCATGTTTATAATAGGTGAGAGCAGTCCTTTTTTCAGCACAAAGTAAGAAAGGCCCTCTTGTGGCCATGGATTTCAGCATCATGCTGGCTTACTTATGTTCCTTCTACATATAAGCATGCAGTATTGTTTGGATTCTTGTATAGGTTTTCCTGTTGACTCCTTTTGGACTTTGGTTTGAACCAAAAATGGTTATAGGTCACTCTGCTGTTGAAACGTTAAATGCACATACTGATGACAGTAATTCATTACTACAGCTTTAGAATGGCATAGTTAATTCACTTTGTTAAGATCACACACTTGTATACCATCTTTAAATACGTCTCTTTCCTTTCTCTTCACAGCCCAGTGACTTTTCCGTATCTCTAAAGGCATCAGGGAAGAACAAACATTTCAAGGTGCAGCTTGCGGACAATGTCTATTGCATTGGGCAGCGTCGATTTAATACTATGGATGAATTGGTGGAACACTACAAAAAGGCTCCTATCTTCACAAGTGAACATGGGGAAAAGTTATATCTCGTCAAAGCACTTCAGTGACGTTGAAGATGGACTCGGCCTGCGGGGCCCCTTATAACTTACAAGCCTTAGGTCCTACATTTGCTTTTCTAAAGCAGAGCAGTCTACACCAGTCTGAGACAGTTGTCAGAGAATCTCCTCTTCGCTCTGTTGGGTTATATTCTCTCTGCCCCACCTCCTCCTTTTTTTGTTTGGTTTTCTACTTTGTCCTTTTAAAAACTCAGTTGCTTCACATTCCCCTCAGGTTGAAAATTTTCACTGAAGTGGCCATTGCGAGCACTCATTTTCTTCCCTGGTTTCTAAACTCCTCCATTCTGTGTACGTTTACATAGTTAGTTCACATAAATGAGGGGTGTTCTCAATTTACAGCAGTGTTAAATTGTTCAAATAGCTCACGCTGGCACGGCGCTAGCAAAGCTTATCATTAGAGAGACTGGGCACAGTTTGAATGCACTGAACCTGCAGCTGGCTAAGTTAAATATAGTAGACATAACAGTTGTGGCTGTGAGTTCTGTAGCTATTTTGCTTACCAAGTAGTATATTCCAGAAATTCCTAGTTTCTAGAAGCACTCTTTACACTCTCTACTCAACTATTCCATTGCCTCCTTTGACTCTTTGTGAAGAGTACACTAACTAAGCATTTTGTAATAGAATTTCTTAAACTACTATGGTAAGATTGTAGTACAAGACAACTATCTAGCTTACTTTGACATGTAATTGCAACAGAGATGTTTCATTGAAAGTTGATTACGTAGAGAATCATTGAATCATAATGGTTGAATGTTTTGGTAATCTACAGCCAAATGTGCCATCCGCATAATGCTTTCTCTTCTTGCCCTTCTGCTTGTTTGAATTAAACAATTATGTATTTAATTCTTAAAGTAATATGTATCTGTAGCTGATTGACACTAATACAGAAGTTTAATAAGCATAATTAATTATGGGTGGGCGGGGCTTCCAACACATACATGCATACATATAATATATAATATATATATTTGCATTACAGAAAAAAAATCAGGGTTTACAAAAGGTGGTGCGATTGGTAGTAAGACACACAGAATGTTATATGAAGAAAGTGCATTTTCTTTTTCTCAACTTTTAACCTTCTTATGGTTTTAAATATAGTCTTGATGGCACATTCCTGAAAACTGAAGAAAAAAGAAAAGAAAAGAACCCTTATCCCCAGAACTTGCATACCCAATTTTTTTAGCTATTGTAATAAAAAAGGTATCATGTGAAGATGGAGTATTTACTTTATCCTTTGGTAATGGCCTTGAGATTGGTATAGCATGATGAAATGTATTTTAAAAAAATTCCCCATTTATATATTGTGTAGGATTTAAGTAACTTGAACAGTTTGGGCAAAACAAAAAGCTGATATCGTTATTTTTTGTAATCTTGAATTTTACATGTATGACTGGTTGCTTGATTGCATTCTTTTAAAATCTTATGCAATTTCGTGCTAGGTTTCAGCACTCCTTTATAGTTGCATTGCTGCCTGTATTAAAGGGCCTGTCATTATAGTAGGCTTTACAGTTCTTAACTCCTGTCAGCAATAGCCATTATACTCAGTGGTCTGTATTACAGAGTCAAGACAATGGGCGAGATATCTCCTCAAGATTATTAAAATTCTTTGGACTGGCTTTAATATAGTATCGGAAGACTTTAAAAGGGGATTAAACAAAAATCATGGAAGATGGGTTTATCAGTGGATTTTAGCCATGATCATGAAATTAACCCCATATTCAGAGTTGGTGTGTCTCTTAATACCAGTTGCTTGCATGGAGCGAGCGAGGAGGTTTCCTTTGTCTTGTGAGTTTCCTGGAGTGTCAGATTGGCTACGATGGCAGATAATATGTTAGAATGATTCTGCAGGACTGCTCTTACACTATTACAGATTTTCCATATGTTCCAGTTCAGTCTCAAAATCATCATAGAGTCTGCCTCAGTTTATGTCTATTTAGACATATATAGGCCACAAGAATACCTTCCGAATCACTTGCATTGATATTAACAGAACTATTCTGTAGTAAAAAGATTGTGGCATGCAGTGGTAGGCTTTAGTGGTACTAAACAGGCTTACTTCCAAGTAGGTACACTCTTTAGCTTGTGTGCCACAGCTGTAAATACATTCAGTCGCCATCAGCCAGGAACAAAGACATTTTGAAGCCAAAGCAGGAAGTTCTCCCTTTATCCTGACATCTTGTCTAACAGAAGCTGGCAGCAGGCGCTTGCGAATCAGTTGGCAAGGGATCTGCATGTCCACAGGAAGGTGTCTTCTCCACCTCCACCACTTAAAGACTGGCTTAAGCTCTATGTGCATAAACACTTTATTTAAAATGACCTCAACTCCTCTGATGTAACTGTGGATGATTTCATCTATGAATGTGTCTAATATATTTTGAATCTTAGTATGTTCACGGCTGGCCTTAGCATGGTGGCAGATCCTCAGAAAATCATTCACTGTGGATATAAAAACAAAAAATCCTGTCCCCAGTTTTAAATTGTGTTGCTTTTAAGTTTTTTGCATTTTATTGTATTTATTTTCTTGGACATAAATAGATGAGCCCAATGCTTTTTTTGGAATTGTGATTTTAAGCTTCTCTATATTGAATGGTTCAAGTAGGAATTCTAGTTGGGAATGTTCACAGATTGGATTGAAATCACCTACACTTTTTCATGGCCAAATCTTGTTGAAATCTATTTCAGTTTGCTTGTGCAGATCCTGATGAATTCTACACACTTAAGCAAGCAAACAAAAAGCTCTTTAGAGGTTGGAATATCAAATCCAGCAAATAGCTTGGGTCAAAAAGGTTGCAATAAGTTTTGTATGATGGATCTATATTCTACATGTCGCTTTCTATTTCAATACAACAAAAATATGTTTGCCATTACTTATAAATGTGATGATGGAGCTCTTGACAGTGAGATGTGCATTTTTTCTTGACTGATAGCTTACTTTATTACACCTCAAATGCAAAAATAAATAGCTCAGATTATTCCTTCCAGTGGGTAGCAGCTTGACTTTGTCAACAGTGAATTTGGTAACTGAGTTGCACAGTCCCCAAACTTCATTTCAGTCCATTTGAACCTCTTTGCTACTTTTTAGGGGTTTGGTCTCAAAAACATGTCCTTTTATAGGTTTGTAAGGTGATTTTTAACATTTTGATCTTGTTTTCTATATTTAACAAATTCCAAATTGTTTAGAAGTTATTAAGACATTTTATTTTACAATAAAATATATTTTATTTTTATTTTATTTCATCATTTTCTATGATAATGATCTAGTGTTTCTTCAAAAGTTAAGTCACAGTCTTCATTCACCTGGATTACCACAGTTGTCAGATGCTGAGATGATAAGCTCTGTGCGACTCACTGCAATATATTTTAACTGAGACATACTTTTCAAATGGGGTTATCAACAAGCTTTGCGCAAGAAGAAGGGGATTATCCTCCGAGGAAGAAGACTGTACCACTTCACCTACTAAATTTTGAATCGGCTCTTTTAATTCTGGGGTTTGGTTTTGGGGTGGTTGTTGTTTTGCCCCTTTTGGCTGTTTTCCCTTAGCTTGCCATTTGTTTCGTTGCCCCAGGCACATACACAGTATGAAATGCAGTAGTAGTCCATGATGATAGTATTACACTGGCTGGTGGTTATTTTGAGAACTGGTTATTTGGACTCTCCTGCAAGGTTTCTAAACTGGTTGGTGAAGCAAGGCTGAATTTGTAAGCTGCCTTGATCTTGAAGACAAGAAAGTGGTCAAAGATGCTGCAGCAGTTGCCCTATACCAGAATAAGCAAGTTGTGTCCTCCAAGCGCCGTGGACTAGAATACTCATCACCTTCAGACAGCATGGTCAGTGGCCTGGGATTATGGGAGTTATATTCTGAAACATCTGGAGAGTAGCAGGTTCCCCATCGTTCACACATTTATCCTCTCAGTTTCTTCCCCCTTTTTTGGTAATGAAGTGATGATTGCTGTAACAAAGATATGGCTGCTCTTCTGATGAAATAGATCTCGGTCACTGGAGATAGACTGGTGGGAAGAAGCAGATTGATTTCTGTGATGTTTTGGTGACCGATCCTGAACCTCCCCTGTTTTGGTGGTGAGGAGACCTGTTCCTTCCTTGTATTCTCTTTCATGGCTACCAGTTGTAGCCAAGGACAACTGGAGAGCACTGGAACAGGGAAAGCTATTCATTTTGCCACACTAACATTGAACCACCACTATTTGCTCATGTATTTAACTTCAATGATTTCAGTATTCTCAATGAACCCCTGCCGGTACATTATATAGTAAATTACCATTGATGCCTTCTGATCATGTCTTGTAAATATAGTTTCTAACACTTTGGTGTACTTCAGAATCATTATTTGCAGGAAACAAGTAAAATGTTTCCAAGCAGGAAACAGGTAAAATGTGATTACAATATTCTAATTTAGGAAGCGAAATAACTTACATTATACGTTTGCTCCCTTAGAGCTATGTTCATTAAGAGGGTCCTTAGGGCTGTGGTTTGTGTTGTGCCTACTGCAAGCCACTTATTACCTGATGCACTAGATTCCTGGAGGGCTGGAGGGACACCCCCTCTGTATCTTTTTTCTGATATCCCCCTGAACCACAGTTTTAGAAGGATAGAAAGCACTATGACTAGTTTGGTGGGGAGGTTTAAGACTCTCCGTCAGAATGGGCATAAAGATCATGTCTGCAAGAAGACCTGGCCTACCAGCCTTCAGAGGAAGAATCTGATTCAGAGATAAAAGCATCTCACTTAGGGTTTAGTCAAAGAGTGCTGGAAATTGGTCTCCTTGGTTTCTAAGAAGTCTGCAATCACAGGGAGTCGGGTATTTCTCAAATTTAACCAAAGCTAGCCGGGAAAAGTGACCAAGCAGCTGTAATGTACTTTGATAAGCAGTCAACAGGTGAACTTGAGAAGGAAGGTTATGCCCTCTCCGGCAAGAAGAGAAAAATCCAGTCGTTACTCCAGACACTGCTTTCCAAGAGGGCTAAACTGACCAGTGGAGATTGGCAGTCACTTCCGTCCCACCTAAACTTCATGCACAGGCAAAAGAAGGCTGCAATAAGAGCATCACTAATTGTTTTACTGAGACTCTTGTACCCTGAATCTCCAGGCCTTGAATTCCCTTCTTTGAGGAGCCTTGACAGGATTATATTACTGGATTATAAAACTTTTACTCCGGTTCCTATTCCAGTTATCTGAGTTTGGTTGAACTTGGGCTAAGGACTCATCCATGGATTCTGGTGCCTGTGTTTTGTATCCTGCTGTAATGAAAGAGTAATATCTTTAATGTGTTAGGGTGGTAATGTTGTATGAAAGCTGGGCTTGACACAGTATTTCAGGAACATGGAAGCTGTTTTTAACCAAGGATATTTGCTAGATTGTCATGGCTGGTGTAACTCTAGTCACTTCTGTTTTTTTGCTATGCATGTTGTGGCAACAAGACTGAGATGGATTACTTCCAAACTCTTCATTTATGCCTGCCTTTGTTTCTTTTTGGAGGATGGAGGGATTGATTCACACATGTGGAATTTGACTTGGAACTTAATATTGAGGAAAACAGTAAAAAGGAATGTTTAAGGAGAAATTAGAATTTGTAGTGACATTTTGATAATGATGGAACTGTACTTTGGATGTATTTCAAACAGTCACCCCAAGAGTACTTTAAAGCTCTTGGGTTTGTTTGTTTGTTTGTTTGTTTTAATAGAAGCCATGGAATGTCTTGAAATGTAAGTATGGATTTGGCCCCCATCAATTGAAGTGGCTATAACAATGGTTTCGATCCTTAGGATTTTTTTAAAAAATCCTTTGGGCAATACCTTTATTAAGACGAACCAAAATGTTTTCCAAGCTTTTGAGTTCTCCAGAATTCTTCATGAGGCTAGGTGGCAAGAAAACTGGGGATAGGGCAGAGACTGGGCTCATGTACTCCTCCAGATTTTGTTGAGTGACAACTCCCATCATTCCTCTCCATTCATTATGCTGATGGGAACTGGAACTGATGGGAATTACATCGGTCAACATCTGGAAGGGCACACCAGATATTACATCGGTCAACATCTGGAAGGGCACACCAGATATTACATCGGTCAACATCTGGAAGGGCACACCAGATATTCCCCACCCCTGAACTAGAGGAAGAAAAGTCCAAAGATAGGCCAAATACTCATTTCATTTCTATACTGCCCAATTAGAGTCAGCATCAAATGGAGATTACAGACAGAAGAGGAGCGGTATTTGACTCATTTCTGCAAGCAGCGGTCCATCTCTTGCTCAGTGCAAAGCACACAGTTTGCAAGGCAGAAAATTGCAGAAGCAGTGGGAGAGATGACAGCCTTTGCATTAGCAAAGAGATTAATTTTAGGTTGTATATTAGGTTAAAAAAGGTTCAATCAAGGCAAAAGTGCTTAGTGCTTTGTGTGAACAAAATTCTCAAGAGTACAAAGTCCTTCATAGAAACTCATCTGCTCTGGTGGTAAGCATACTTCTAGATATTTCTGGTAATACCCTGTGCCCTGCTTTTTATAGCTAGTCTAATGAAAAGTTCTGGACAAATTTAAAACTTGTGCAATCTTTTGCAACATTCTGCTTGGTCCTAGTAAAAATATTACCCAACTATGGATTTTATTCTGAAGTGTAATACCTTATGTTCTCTTCACATTACTTGCCTAATGTCCCTCTTATGCTGATTTTGTAAATAAAAAAATGAAATTTTGTTTATTTAAAGCTTTTATAGACCATTTTACAGCAAATGCTCTCAGAATGGTTTACAGCATAAAACACAGTAATAATAACATCCATAGTAATCATAACAATTTCCAAGATAATAACCACAATTAACAAGGAAATAGCACACAATACAAAATACTGATCTACTGTGACCAGTCATAATCTGAATAAAAACCAATTTTAAATTAAACCATCTATTAAAATGACGGGAGAATAAAAAAGGTGTTTTTTTTTTAAGGGAGGTTTTTGTTCTTGACATTATTGGAAGTATTTAGAATTACTAAGGAACACGAAAGTATTGTTGCCTTTTCAGATGACAGCTGATGGGTGGTCCTGTTCTAATATGGAAATTTTAATCAGACACTGCAGTTCTGTTTCCTAGTGGCAACTGATCGGATATTCTTGCAAGGTCCGTGTGTGTCCTAGCATAGTGATTCAAGCCCCAATCTTATTTCTGCTTATTTAGGAGTAATCCACTGAATGCCAGGATGGAGGGCCTTGATGATTCCACCCTGGATGATTGGAAATCCCTGAACTGAGGCTTCAAACCAACCAGTGAAGGCAGGAGAAGTGGCACAGGCACTCTTCACCTTTCTGTCCCACAGCCTGCAATTCAGGATGTTGGCCTGTCTAGTGGTGTCACTTCAGAGTGGGAGGTCCCCACTTTCCTCCTGACCCACCAGAGTGCCCCCTTTGCCCCCTCTTGGAGGACAACACTCCATGTCTGGAGGGCAGCTGGTGTAGGTCTTTCTGGACCAGCTCGATCGGGAAGGGGATCAGATGATTGACTCCTGGGCTGGAAGGCCATGCCGGACCTCAGAGGGGAGACTCCCCAGTATCCTTTGGCCACTCGGACATGAACAGCTGAGCGGGTATGTATGCAATTGCACTATTTTTATTGTATCCTCCCATCTCATAACAGTATCAATACAATGCAGCAATTGGAAAGAACCAGGAGTTGCATACATTGAGAAATCTGTGGCTAGGCAACTGCTAGTCTTCGAACATCAGCAGAGGGCAGACATAGATGTGTTGCTGAACTAATTTGTTTTTTGGCGTTTTTTTCTTTTTAAGTTGATAAAAATCAATGTTGCCGAAATGGAGGTTAATTCCTAGTGGGAAAAAGACATCAAGTGGAAAGGCTGCTTTACAAGTAAAGCCTATTTACTTCCTCTGGATCAATCATAATTTTCAAGTCCTCCTTACTTGTTAAGCATCTTGATAAAGTCCTAGCAGTGTCCTGGAACCCAAAGGCTTGGCTGTGTCCCAACAGAGCATGCAATCCGCAGAGCCTTGCCTCCTGGTCTCCTCCTGGGTTTCTCCCAACCACAGCCTTGAAACCCCAAACCTTACATTCCTATCATGGAATCCCCTCCCGTTGTCAGGCGAAGATGTTGCCGGTAGGTGCATCTTAATATATAACATTCCTCTGAACAAAAATCCAGCCAAAACCAGAGAGGCAACTTTTAGAATGTGCATTATTTACTAAATTTCTAAACCCTAAATTTCAGTACCACCTAA